CGATGGTTGTTACCAAGTGGCTGAATAGGACTACAGAAGTCGTGGAGGACGTTGTACGTCATCACGTCGAACACGTAAACACTCTAAGTAGGGCTGTGCAATTAATCGTATTTTAATCGCAATTACGATTTTGGCCTGCCACAATTACGAAAACAACATAATCGGAAAAAACAATTATTTAGCTTTGCTAGGTTGAGACAGTGCAACATATTTGATCTAATTCATATTGGTCTCATTTATTTGTATTTATCATATTTATATATGTTTAGTAGCTTGGGGAAGTGCGCTCCAAAATATTTGTTGATCTTGTTTATTGGTGTTTATTATTTTGATATTATTTATTTAAATGTATCATTTATTTTATTTATTTTTGTATTGGTTTTTCAGTTGAATTATACGTTCAGGGTAATCAACAGTTAAAAAGATACTGTTCAAATTATTATTTGTATTTGTTTTAAAGTTCAATAAATGGATGTTTTCAAAGTCAATGAATAATCGTATTTAATAATCGTGATATCAATTATTGACCCAAATAATCGTGATTATGATTTTTGCCATAATTGCACAGCCCTAACTCTCAGTTAGTCTGCCCTGTTCTGCTTGAAAGCAAGTACCTGCCTCCTGCAGACTGTTCAAACAAACGCTTCAACTCGTACAGTTTAGAATCTGTGTGTTTGAATATGGATCTGAAGTTGGCGTGACGTTGAAGCAGCGACCCTGCTGTAGTTCCTTTATAGCATAACGTTAGCATTTTGCTTCTGGCGACTACATTTATGATTAGAAAATGATAAAAGTAGGATAGACATGTGGAGATTATCCGACTGAACAAAACGTGATCCGTCTCTTCAATGTGTCTCAACCACAGACCTGAGTTCCAGCTATTTTCCTAAATCCTATGGAGAGATTGCATTGCGTTTTTGTCGAAGGAACCGGAAGGAGTTTACTTCCGGGTTTTAGGACGCGTCACTGTGGCACTCTATAACCTATACTTAATGTAACCTAGACTCCCTAGAGTTTGTATGACAGGTGGCCTTTTAAATAGTCGACATTACTGCTTTCTTACCTTTTCTGAAATGAAACGAAAAATGACAGAAAATATGAAGTTGAACTGAGGGTTACCACCAGAACAGCAGGGCGTCACATTAAAGTAAAAATAAAGAATTACACAGAGAGAGAGAGAGAGAAGACACATGTCACACAGCCAAGCCTGCATCCAGGAGGTCAAAGGTCACGGTGCTTTTACCTGCTGTGTGTCGGCAGGCTGTAGTGAGTCGAGCTGGCCTACTGAGCCCTGCTCTGACACACCGATCCCAGCTGGACGCTAAAAGTAGAACGACCCCAAATTAACTCCAACACACACACACACACACACACACTCATTCACACACACACACACACTCATTCACGCACACACACACACTCATTCACACAGACACACACACTCATTCACACACACACACACACACAGACACACACGTACACACACACACACACTCATTCACACAGACACACACGGGCCAAAGTTCAGCTGGCAGTCACAGAATGAAGACTTTTTAAAGAAATGTGATCTATTTTTCTAGCTTTTTTTGTTATTTTGTCGTTCATGGTGGCGTTTTTTATTTTCGGAGTGAAGTAGTTTTCACTGTATTTGTCTCTGAACTTTATAAAGTGTGTCTGTCTGTGTGTGTGTTTGTGTGTCTGTGTGTGCTTGTGTGTCTGTCTGTGTGTGTGCTTGTGTGTTTATGACGCAGTTGTTCAGAGGAATGCCCCTCTCTGTTTATCCTGATCTGTCATCCTGGTAAATCTGGGCCGGTGAGCTCACAGCCCCCTTCATCATCATCGTCATCCTCACCCAGCTCTCTGACCTCACTGAGCTCCCTAAGGATCTTGATTCATGTGCACCAGGTGCAGGGTGAAGGGGGGGGGGTCGGTCTTAAGCTGAGAACACTAGAAAACAAATCCCAATGATTTGAGAAGAGACACACGAACAGCTGCTCTTCACTGACAAATAAACACTGTTCAGACTTCTTTTATTAGCTTTATACTACAGGATCACTTTCAGATTAGTCCAAATACTTATTTATAATTCAACCGTCATCGTGAAGCTTTCAGAAGATCTGAGAAATCAGTCAGAAAGGAGATAAAGAACTTGTAATGCTGCTGAGATTAATTTATAAGTCAATAAACAGCCTCTCAAATATGAAGATTTACTTTTTTAAATCTGTTTGATATCAAATTAAACACAATTTCTTTAGGTTTCAGACTGCCATTAGACATTTAACGACATCCACCTCGTCTTCCCCTCGAAACTGATGGAAAAATAATTGGCAGATTAATCGATAGTGGAAACAATCGTGGGCTGCAGTCCTATCGCTTCTGATGACTATGAAGTTAATTTTATGGCGTTTTCGCGTTAAATTGAATTTCAGCCACGGCTTGTATCAAGTCTTCATCTTGTTATAACGTTTGTATGTCGTAAAAACTAAAAAGCCACTTGTTATAAGAAAGATTTGTCCGGTTATAGCGTGAGACTGATCTCGCATGGCAGCAATACAGTGGTGTATATTTTAAAAATAGAACAATTTGTTTTCATACCAGATGTGAGTTTTTGGTGTCGACAGCAAAATCCATCCTGAAACATTAGAAGTGTCAGACGATAAGTTGTATGGCATGTTTTCATAGATGGGTGACTTTGTACAGAAATATGATATTGTGAGAGATGATCTTTGGCTCAAAGTGCAGCGACATATCAAACATTAACTCAACATCAGAGCGACTGACGACAGAGGAGAGTCCTAACAACCGTGTGTCAGCAGACCCTCACCACGGCTCACATGCTCACCTTAACGTCCACTACAGCATGTCAAATGACAATAATAGCAAAAGAGTGGTGCAGAAATTAGTCTTAAAACCTTGAAGTTAGTCAGCATTTGACCTCAAATGGTGCGTCCACACGGCAGCGTCGCGTGCTTCAACGGAGACGCTTCCCCTTCACTTTGAATGGGGTGACGTCACGCTTTGCCGAACTGCATTGTGGCTCCGTTGCTCGCTTCAAAAGTTGAGAAAAGCGTAGACGGAAGCGCCAGCCAATCAAATCATATACCAGTACAAGCGCTAGCCAATCAAACCGCGTGCTTGTGTGTCCGGGGCGGGAGATTAATGTGATTGGTTGTTGGTCGCTCGCCAGACACGCCCACCGGCAAGCTTCAACGCGACGGAGCCGTGTGGACGCTCCGTTACAGATCCACCACCTCGGACATTAGCCACCTTTAGCTTAAACTAATATGACCATGCTGGGGTTCCTTTATAGCCGAAACGTTAGCTTTTCACTTCTGCAGATTGCATTTACAATTCAAACACATCATAGTGGTGTTAATATGAGAAGGTTAGCCTGCTAAATAAAACATTACATTAACATAAACGTGCGTTTCATCTCAAAATCCACTGGAAAAATCACATTGTATTTTTGTCAAGGAAACCGTGTGATGCTAATTTCAGAGTCGGCTTACTAGTGTCCTCACTGCGCCACTTTATATGTACAATGTTCAGTAAAAAGCATAATATGTTTGTCATGGTCCATTTCCTGTCAGACGTAATGACTCGGTGACATCACACCGTTTAGGGAATAGATTTTCATTGGGGAGATTTTCCCTTTAAATTAACTAGCCGCCCTTGACTGACACTAAATTACTGGAAGTGCTTCAGACGTTTGGTCACACACACACACACACACACACACACACACACTCTCTCTCTCTCACACTCACACGGCTGTGGCTTAGATCTGTTGCTGTCAATCAGTGTTGTCCAATCAGAGCTCGCCCTGCATTAGTGTTGTTTATTATGTCATCCTCCTCCCAGTTCACTCCCTTCCTCTCAGTCTGTCCGTCTCTCTCTCTCTCTCTCTCGTTTGACCGGGTGGAGGGTGGGTTTCGCCTCTAGTTTTCCTGTTGTCATGGCGACCTTCACTAGAGGAAGTCGCGACCCCCAGTTTGCCTCTGAACCCCCCCCCCCAGTTGCCATGGGCACCCTGGCAGAGAGAGTCCAATATGTGTGTTTCTGTGTTTGAGTATAAATAGCTCTCAGCCTTCATCAGTGTTTGGTTTCAGAAGCAGCTGCTCAAAGACACACACACACACACACACACACACACACACACACACACACACAGACACACACACACACACACACACACACACACAGACAGGTGGATGAGCAGTGAGACAGGTGTGGTCAGTTAGACAGAGGGAGGCGAGCTGGACGTTTAGATGTGAGGAAATCTCAGTGTTTACTCCGTGATGTTGACAGAGAGTCTTTTATCATATCTGTTCTCTTTTTGCACCAATTGTTCTCATTGAAACGTTTCTCTACCTGGAACAGAATCGCAGAGCTTAATAAATGTGGTTTAAATAGCACAAATAAAAAAAGATTATAAATGTATACAAACACACTTTGTTGAGATTTTCCCACAATTATTTCCATCGTCATTAATTATGTTTTTCTTAGCATCAAAGCCTCTACATTAGCAGCTAGCAGCATCTATTGCCTGGATCACTTTTAAAACGAAACTGTCTAAACACGGTGATAAAGACTCAACAGCCTCACCAATATAACTTGTGTGTTTTCCTGAATTAAAACTACCACTTGGTATTTCACATATCGCTAACTTCAGTTTACAACCGTTGGATTTGTTTCCCTGCTACATAGAAAGATTTAATGTCACAATTTGACATTTCACCTCCAGTCATCATGATTTAACGTTTGCCCTCTGAACTTGACGTCAGTGTGTGATGACTCCCATGAATTAACCCTCTCTCTCTCTGTGTGTGTGTGTCTCTCTCTCTGTGTGTGTGTGTGTGTGTCTCTCTCTCTGTGTGTGTGTGTGTGTGTCTCTCTCTCTGTGTGTGTCTCTCTCTCTCTGTGTGTGTGTGTGTGTGTGTCTCTCTCTCTGTGTGTGTCTCTCTGTGTATGTGTATGTGTGTGTGTGTGTGTGTCTGCAG